AAATCTTGAGGTAACAAGTATTTGTTTTAAGCTGCAATGTTTTAGGATCGTGTGTTATGCAGCAAGAGGTAACTAATATACCTCCCTTGGTGGTTTCATAGCCACTGTGGCCTCAGTAACAATTCTTAGTGCCAATAGCCTTGTATTTATATTTTGCTTCTCAACTCTTTCGTCCACTCGACATTGATACTTGGTTGTCTCATAAATGCCTCAAAGTCTTCATGTTCAAAACCACTAATCCAGCCATTTAAATGCAAGCTCTACGAGAGTGACTTTGTTGCCATTCACTGCTATATTCCCAGTGCCCAGCACATAGTAAATCCTCACTAAATGTAGATTGAATTAATATTCCACATCAAACTTGTCTTTTCTGGTATTCTCTATTTAGGCAAATGTAGTATAATCTATTCAATCACTCAAGCCAGAAATTGGGATATATCCTTGACCCCCTCACTTTATCTCATTCTCACATATCATCAATCTCTAAGTTCCATAGGTCTGATATCCTAAATAGTTTTCAAATCTGCCTGTTTTTCTACCTCTACTTGCTGTCACTCAAGTCCAAGGCTACAGCAATAGGCAAACTAGTTTCTCTTCATTCGCTTTTTTTAAAGTAAACTTTTAAATGTAACATATAGAAATGCACACAAATAAAAAATAAAGAGCACGATGGATTTCTAGCTAGTGAAAACAGCCCTTTAGCTACCATTCCTATAGAATCAGAATTTAACAACACTCCTGAGGCTCCTCTGGTGCCCCCTTCTGGTCGCTTCCTCTCCTCCATCACGATCCTGACTTCAATCTGAAGTCCATTTGGTTCGTTTTTGAATTTCCTGTAAGTGAAGTCATATTATTGGAACACTTCTTCTGGTCTTACTCCACAACAGAGGACTCATCCATGTGTTGCTTGTTCCCTGAATAGTATTTCCCATTGTGTTATTTATTAATTCTATTGTCTAGATAGGGGGTAGTTTTCAGTTTGAGGCTACATCAAGTAGTTCTTGCATGTCTCTGGTGACCACATATGTAAGCTATTGCTGGATTTGTACCCAGGAGTGAATTGCTATGTCACAGGGTATGTGGATGTTCAGCTTTAGAAGGTTCTGCCACACACTTGTTTAAAAAACTTAAAACATTTCCCCTCCCACCATCTGCAAACTCATCTAGTGCATTTCTTGCCCCAATCCTAGGATCAGCCATTTCTTCAAAGAATCCCGATTTCTATCATTAGCTGATTTTTTTTCACATTATAAAGCATCCACATGGATAGAATTTTTAAAAGGATGAGATAAAGTAAAAACATATGGAATATCTACATTTTTTCACATCCAGTGGAGTAAAAGGAACATAAAAGATTCTTGTGAAAGATCACATGTAGAGGAGTGAGTGGGGGACAGAGATTGCAGTAGGATGAAGGGTTAAAAAAGTCAGCTTAAAAGGACATCAAACATTGGTGCCTGGGTACCATTGCCATCTGCTCCCATGAGGGGGCCTTCGATAGGGGCCTTCGATAGGGGCCTTCGATAGGGGCCTTCTGATGCTAAGCCAGTCAGAATGCCTCCTGAGTGTCCCCATCCCCACCTGCTTCAGTGTCTTTGGCTTATATGAATGAATATAGCCTGAAACTCCACCCAAGATTGGGGGACACAAAGTATCAGAGAGTAGGAAAGTGGTGAGCAGCAACGAGGAGTATTTTGAGATGATGACAGTGTCCTAGTTTCCAAAAAATACATCGACCTTTAAAGAGAAAGTCACCTAATTTACTCTAATTTCCACCCTAAAGGGCCAGCCGAGTGACTATTAAGCTAATTTTTAATAGTGTCCCTTCTCTGCCTGTACTTTAAGTTGTTTTTAGCTCCCAGACAGTGTTCAGGAAGGTGGAATGTGGGCGTTTGGCGAACATATCCAGTCTACCCTATTAAGCTTGGTGGCTTACCTGGCTGAGGCTGAGTATGCTAGCCTTGACAAGCAAGGAAGGAAGTGCTTGGTATTGCTGCATAGGGAGGAGCTTCCTGTCCTCCTGGAGCTTGCCCATGGCAGGAAAAGGTGACTGCGATGGGCAGGCTGCCAGGCCAGTATCATGGCTGGGATCCAGGAGCCAGGATTAGGGTTGGCAGCCTCTCTGCCTGCCCTGTTTGCAGGATCAGATGTTAGTTTTGCTCACTCACTAGGAAGGAACAAAGGTGCCATGATTAGCTGCTGGGTAGTTCCAGTTGCTGCAAGAAAAGGGCATTGAGAATTGGGTGGTGAGTACGGACCTGGTTAAAAAAACTGATATAGCCATACAAGGAAATGTGCCAAACAAACAACAACAAAAACAAACAAACGAAAAAACAGCAAGGCGCCGCCTGAGAACTGCAGAACTCAGCACACAACCACTCTATCCAAACCTGCACTAAGAGGACCAAACTGGCATGGCTCCTAGCAGCGTAAGGCTCAGATAACCCCAGCCCCCATTAAAATGCCTGCCTGAGAAAGCTCAACGCTGCTGCCAGGAAAATTTACTGTTTGCTCTGGCCAACACATGATTGGTTCCTGACTTCCCTTTCTTAGAGCATTTGCTAAAAGGGTTTATGATTGTGAATATGTGTCTCTTAAAACCCAGAAGCACCTGTCATGAATCTGAGAGCCATTCCTTTGAAAAGTACTAATCAAGAAGGACAGGGCGTCTGTCTCCCTGCTCCGTTGGGGGACAGACTCCTGATTTCCACATCTCAGGGCTAACAGACACACCTAGCCTAATCACATCTACACTGACCAGCTTTTTGGAATTTTTCACTTCTCTGACTCTAAACCCCGTTCTCCTCCCTCATTCTTCCTTTAAAAGACCCAGTCTAAGGGGATGACGCTCCGCTCTTTACTGTCTGTATTTACTGAATAAAATATCTTTCCCATCGCTTTAACTAATGTCTGGCTGTTGTGGTCTTTGACACGGTGCA